TTGATTAGTTTGTTTTGTAAAAAAAATATGCATAGTGATGTTTATATGGAGCCCAACATAATTTTAGGAATTATGTAACTGGCCCAACGCCGCACCAGCCACTGATTCCAAATGTGTTTTGAATTCTTAAGAAGGCTAACTAGTGCTTTTTTAAGCTGCAATTAAGATTAATAGGAATTAAATAAATGTACCTCACTCTTCACATAGGACAAACTAAACATCTATCTTTGTAATGCAGCTAATCCCGGTCCTGGAAGCTGATTGGCTACAGGAAGGTTCGAGGCCGTGCTTCGTCCCCTGATAAAGTAACGCGTATGACCTGATCACCTTACTGTGTCAAATATCACTGCACAAACTTTTGATCCCGTGTCCGTTTCACTGTGGTACGATCAAGTAGTATTAACGAGGTGAAACAGGACAGTTTTCCCAGTGAATTTCATTTATCAAATTATTTAAAAGGTATAAGACAGGAATAGCGCACTATTATGAGATAGAAGTTGCTGGACCTAAGGCAACAGTGTCTGTTGTCCAGCGGTTTAATTATATACACTGAGCGCGTTCTGAATTTTCTTTTCATCTTAAATTGTAAACACTAACTTTTAAACTATGTTGCACTTGTAGAAGAAAATCTAGGTATTTTTTTAAATACGTAGCAGCGTTTGCCCTAAGATCAGAGCGACAGGCTATTAAAAGCAACACTTAACTCGTGACTTCATTAACAAAACAACTTACGCGTTAATACAACATCCAGTTTTAATCTTTATTCCTATTATAATGGCAAAACGATTTAAACACTGCTTGCTGCGCTAATAGAGATGAAATAACTTTAGAAAAATCATCGGTTAATATTAAAATAAAGCTCCACGCCTTTACTTCGGGCAATAAAGGCCTTACAAGTGCGGTTAAACGCCCGGTATTATAAACAAGCTGACAGTTGTGATGAAAGTTGTTATTCAACTAAATAGCAAGTAAAGGTACCTATTATTCGGAAGCGTAACGTAACATTCAGTTCAGCCAAAATTCCCGTGAAGAATAAAAACTTAAGCAGGAAAAGTTGTGTTTTCGATAAGGACCGTGTGCTCCACACCTCATGCATGAGCCTACATGCACCACCAGGCGGAGCTATGCAGAAAAATAATGTTGCGCAACTTAATTACAGTAGGTAGTAATGTTCCTTCTCCGCTAGAGGGAGACAGAGGCTAAAAAACGAACAGGGAAATTAAAGCGAGGAGGCCCATTTTAAAGAAGCAAAATGTATGATTTACAGGTGCATCTGTCCACTCTGATACATTTGCATGACACAATTCTGATATAAAATAATTTTCAATTAGCTTATTTGCACGTACTAACAACATCTTAAATATGTATTCTAGAAAGTCACAGACATAAATATGATTTTAATACAAATGAGAAAATAACGGGAGATTTAGTGAACTAGTCAAGATAATTCGTCATAGATGTGTTCTGGCGTGTTTAACATTGGCACTTATTTTAAACTAGTTTCTGGCAAATGTCAGGGAATGTGTACAGTCAAATTTATGAAATCAACCATGATGCTGTCACATAATTCACTGTAAGTCTTCATACAGTCCATTGGAAGGCTCAAGCACTAACAAAAATTATGGACAGAGGGAGAAGAGTCATTCCAAGTGAACTCCACATTCCTTCTCCCACACATGTGTTCTTGCTACATCATGTCCATCATGTGACACAAAACTCTAAATCAAGCACATCAGCATACGAGAGTGAGAACACTAGCATGATCACCAAGCATCCATCTGGACAGAGCTAGAGAGGTGTTTACAGACATAAGCGACCTTGTAGACTGCTATGAAGATGGCCTCTTATGCCCCTTCTGAGGCTGAGAATAGTTAGTAGTCAAAACCATAAGCATGCTCAAGGTCATAAAACCATAGATTAAAGACAGAGTAGCCAAATTGCAATAACCCCCCCCCACACACACACCTATGATCTAGGCCCAAGATCATTTTCTAACTTAAAACCTAACTACTATGAATAATTGTCTGTCACTGTGTCCCCAAATCATAACCAAGTAGTCTACATATTCTTAATATGAAATACAAGATGACAAAAGTTTAGGAAACTAGTTACATTTACATATTAACTTCCCAGGACCAGGTAAGACTGTATGTATATGAGATTGTGTATATTTGGGCAGAACAAATTCTAAGCTACAAATATCATTGGTACTTATCCTTCACTCAACAATTAACAGTTTTATAGGATTTGCACTTAAAATATAACGTTAGATCAAACAAAAGAAACGTGGAGATCCATTAGGAGTGAATTTGGTGTTTATTAAAGCAAAGATACATGAATGTGTCATGAGTATAAAGTTACAGTTCATTACACATCATCAAAAAGAATTAACTGTTTCGCACCCGCGCAGTCTTAATAAAGCATCAAAAAGGCAAGCATGCGAAGTTATACTCGCTTGGTACTTGTGAGGGTTCCAGGCAGGACATTCCATGTGGGTAAACGGGAATTACTTCGCATGCGCAGTACGTCGAAATTCCCAGCCATGCACAAGAACGACACACACACAGGCCATTTTTGTTCAAGCGAGCCTCCTAACGGGATTATGCAACCGCCCGGCGGTGGTCGCCAGCTTCCCCATAGGGTTCGGTCGCTAACTTCACGGTAGAAGGACAAGCGCAACTCAAAATGTCAGTCTATCCCCAAGCCTTCGGTTTTTCAGCTTGGTTTAGGCTACGTTAAACGAATTAAGGTTAACGTTTGTTGTTTCGACGCGGACATTTGCCCTTAGTTAGTGTGTAACTTATTTGGCTAGTTATACAGCCGAATATACTGTCCCTTTTGTGCCCGCCCCGTTAAAGGAAAAAAAAAACTCCATTTTTACGACCCCCGCCCGCCATGTCAAGCATACTTAGGTAGCGCTAAAATAGTTACCTCTTCGGGTTTTCTCATTTTAAATAGGAGATGTTAAACAAAATACTCCACGCCACCAATGCCAACGTACTTAGGAAAATCATTTATATCTAATTAAAGGAGTGCTTTGAAAACAGCGGGCATCTGACAGATCGTTCTAAGGACAACACTGAAGAGACGACATTAGCTAACTAGGAAATAACAGACTGAGCCGAATGATAGTCTATCGAAGTTGGTGGCCTACCTAAAGTCCATAGCTACCGAAGACGCCTGGAATATTATTTCACTGCGCGACATTTGGATTACTAGACAGCAACCCGTCGATAATAATAAAACTTTACCAAAATGTACATGCCCCTGCGTCTGTACATGATTGAACTACAGCTCCATTACAAAGAGTGGTCCTGGGGTTACTGTATAGACCTAATCGAAATGGCTGTTTTGCACACTGCCATTTCTTGGGGGAAAAAGAAACCTTTCGTGGAAACAAAGCCCTTCCCTAATAATTCACTACATTGCTAGTGTCTCCGTATTTGTCGAGCCAACGACACGAAGCCGGCGGCGACTCGCCAGCTGCCCAACAGGGCTAAATAAATTCAAATTCAGTCTGTGACAACGAAATTAAAAGGCCTTACTGCGAATAACTAGATACAAAGTGCACAGTTCCTCATGACTTGCCAAGCCAATTCCATGTTGGCAGCCATATTGTTTAAAGAAAGCTACTTCACTGCTATTTTAACCCAATAAATCATATCAATTTGTACTCTCTCTCCCCTAACAATTTCAATTTCTTCAAATTGATTACTAATTGATAAGCATCTAACCGCACTGTCATATCTCCGACACCAATCTTTTAAATATTTCGAACTATTTGCCGTCGTGCTGGTTAGCAACAACTAGCTAAGCAAGAACAAACCGCGAGTTAGCATTCCTTCTCTCGCCACCATTGCATAGTATCGAATATAGTTACTACGCCACCTACGAAATCTAAAAGTAAAAATAATCACAATTGTATAAGACAACGGATAACTGCATTTTAGCCCTGTCAAAACTACAACACTAAAAAATCCAAAATATTCAAACTTTTGCCTCCTTTACGTAGTCTTAAGTTGTCGTACCAATTTCGGCCTTCCCGTTTACATTAGTTTTTTGTGGAAAAATAAACTTAAGTTACCTGAATAAAACACATATACTATGCAATAACGTCCTGTCCACTTTTACAGAAGTCAGTTAACCATAATCCTTGAAAAGCAACAATATTATACAGTACAGGCTTTCTTCGGATTTTCCTAGACGACATAGCCAGAGAGAGTGCCGGCTGCCCAGCATTCGCCTCTACTGGAGACCGAGGAGCGGAGCACATTCCCGTAAAAAACGAAGAAAATGTTGAAAAAATAATAAAATATCGACGTCGATCAAAAACTGAAAGAAAATAACACCGGTGTGACCACTTTGTTTAGCTAAACTAACGAATTTGGTTGAAAAAATATTTTGGTTTTATGAAACGGTCTACGTAGGCCTTAACGCGCGAGCTTCATTTCCAAGAGTCGTAGCTGATCCAAAGCGAGACGGGCGAGACAGCGCGGATTTTTTTTATTTTTGCTAAGAGGGAAAATTCTTATTCGGCCGAACTCGGAATTGTTCGGAAATAAGGCGGGTCAAACAAGAATTAATTCAGAACGGTCGTTTCTTGATACTATTGGTGTGTTCTTGCCATAATTTACATATTCATTAGCCTTTACACGAACCGTGTAAGACTTCGAGAAATACTAAAAAAAACTAACTGAATAATATATTGAAACTCCTCCTCGTATATAATATAGCCAATAGAAATATTTCTCAATTGCCTTATGCACTCCCCCTCTTCCAATTCGTTCCTAAAATATAGCGTGCACGTTCATTGGATGTACGTCCGATCTATTTCATAATTCAGGCGTATCTCTCGAGCAGCCAATTGCCGTTTTACTACACTAGCTTATTGCCCACCCCCAAACTGTTCAGCCCCTGCAGTGTGGGCCTTGTAAACCTGTAGCCCATCGTACAGTCTATATAAAGTCGTGTGGAAGCAGTTCTTGCTCAGATGCGCTTAGAGCGCACCGGAGTGTAGTTCGGGAAAAGGGAAGGAGGTATCCCTTAGTAATAGTAGCTAGTTTAAAAACGTAAATAAGCAGCCTCATAGATCCGTAAACAACGTGGGTCCTTGGGAACTCGCCATCGGAGACATTCCGGTCGCCGGTGGGGGCTTGGACAGAGTCTCAGTGGCAATTTTACCTGTTCCTCTTTACAAAGCGGCGTGCCGAGGGAGGACGCGTCTCTTTGAATAGACAGGATGCACGGACCGCCCTCCGGCGACAGCGCATGCCCAATGCGCCTCATCAAGAGGGTGCAATTCGGCATCATCAGCCCAGATGAGCTTGTAGGTTTTGGTTTGGGGAGGGGGGACTTCATTTAACTTTTTGAATGGAGTGTTCTCTTATTGATACTCTATATCCAGATAAATATACCAGTGGATTTTCAATATTTATCCTTTATTGAATGTGTTGGTCTTGTTGTAGGCTAACGTAGTTAGCCTAACAGCTAGTTCACGTTAGGGACCGCATGTTTACAGAACTTCACTTTCACTGCAAAACGGATGTCTACAGTAATTAAAGAGAAATGCCCTTAATGCTTAAACGTGCTTTGATGGCGTCATGCATTTCACGGTAGCAGACAAGTTTAAGGTTACTTTTGTCAAACGTGCGTTTTCACATGTTATCGCATTCACACACACTTTCTTCGTGTTGACTTAGAGCTTTGCATTCCTTTATGTACTTTTAATCTGTGACTTTGACAATAAAGCCTGTTTTAAAGTGGTGCAACGCATGTCTTTCTATAACATTAACACGTATCAACGACTCGATCGCTATGGTGTTCGCTGACTTAATGCGTTTTCAACTTGGACTTTATTTAACTTCCTCGCTACATATTCCGGGGAGTTTTCCCGGTCGCGTGTCGTCTGTTTGATTATGGCTCATTCGGCAGCTGCGGTTCCTGCATACAGTTTTAACTGGGATATTTGCTTAGTGTAAATGAACGAAGTTCCTTCATAAGTTGGGATTTTTTAATACACGTGGCGCGCTTTCATAAATGCAATTTACGTTTATTTTCTTTGCACATGGCTCTTTGGCTTGTAACTTGCCACTCGTGTGTAAATATGCACTGCGTTATATATCATAAGCCTAAAGTTATTTTACTGCACCTTCATTATCATTTTGATCACATTTCTTTTTCCCCCTCTTCTCCCCTCCTTTCAGAAAAGAATGTCTGTCACAGAGGGGGGAATTAAGTATCCTGAAACCACAGAAGGAGGACGTCCAAAACTGGGAGGTCTCATGGATCCCCGGCAAGGTGTCATCGAGAGGTCGGGGAAATGTCAGACATGTGCAGGTAATTATTATATTAGTCCTGTACTTGTGACAACCAAATGTTAGTCGAGTGTTTCCCAACTCGGTCCTGAGGGACCCACAGAAGGTACACGTTTTTGCTCCTTCCCAGCTCTCTGCCAGACAGTCCACATTTTTGCAGATACGTGGGCTGTCTGTGGGTCATCGCGGTTGGGAAACAATGTATTAGGCTGAATTGTGCAAATACACATTTTGCTCTTAATTCAGCCCCATGGCTCAAAACTCTGCTTTCGTTGTTGTGTGCTTCCGTCAGGTAACATGACAGAGTGCCCGGGTCACTTCGGCCACATTGAGCTGGCCAAACCCGTCTTCCATGTGGGCTTCATCACCAAGATCATGAAGATCCTGCGTTGCGTTTGCTTCTTCTGTTCAAAGCTATTGGTTGATGCGGTCAGTTAAAAAAAAAAAAAAAAAAAAAAAACTGCACACAAACTATTTTGCAGATTAATCCTAAACCCATCCATACTGTACTGGTAGCTGCTTGGGAGGCGTTGTGCAATAGTTCAGTCCTTAGTTATTAAAGATGTCATAACGTGGGTTTCAATGAAGTGTGAGCTACAGGAAGCAGAACAGCCAAGGTTACCTGTTCTTGTCCTCCTGTTATTTCACATATTAAAAGGAATTTTGTGTTATGCAGCTTATTTTGGCATGATAAGCTTATCCTTACCGCAAACATGAGTTACTTTTATGCTTTCCAAAATAGTCGTGCTCTTTTTCCTTGTATATTTGTACAAGTAATTGTAGGTAATCATGTGGAATTAGTTTTGCCCGCAGTGCTGCTCTTCGCTGTTCTGTTCCAATAACATGACCCCCCCGCCATGGTCTTCCAGAACAACCCAAAGATAAAAGACATCCTGACTAAGTCGAAGGGCCAGCCCCGGAAGCGTCTCACCCACGTGTACGATCTGTGCAAGGGCAAGAACATCTGTGAAGGAGGGGAGGAGATGGACAATAAGTTTGGTGTGGAGCAGGCTGAGACTGAGGAGGACATCACAAAGGAGAAGGTGTTGCTCTCTACTGACCTTTATGTTTCTGCAGTCTGCTCTCAAATTAAATTGATGCCCAACTTCCAACTTAGTCCTGTTCAGCCAGTATTTGTAATTAAGTAATGCCCTGTATTAGCCTTGTCTTGAGGTGCTTTTGCTAAAGACTTTGCCTCTAATAATATGGTCACACTGCTGTCTCTACATATTTATTTCTGTTTCCCTTTCAGTTCAGCTACTTGTTCAGCTGTTGTTCCTCAACGTTTCCTCCTGTTTGTGTTGCTGTCAGGGCCACGGTGGTTGCGGCCGCTACCAGCCGCGGATCCGGCGCTCGGGGCTGGAACTGTATGCGGAATGGAAGCATGTCAATGAGGACTCCCAGGAGAAGAAGATCCTCTTGAGCCCTGAGCGCGTCCACGAGATCTTCAAGCGCATCTCCGACGAGGAGGATATCATTCTGGGCATGGATCCCAAGTTCGCCCGACCTGAGTGGATGATCGTCACCGTGTTGCCCGTCCCTCCCCTGGCAGTGCGACCCGCTGTCGTCATGCAGGGCTCTGCTCGTAACCAGGTATTGACAGTCAGCCTGCTCTCATAATGGGCATTTTATTTTGGGTTATTGTGATCATTTGGGGCCTGTACTGATGTCAGTCTCCAGTGGGTGACTTTGTGCATGTATAAGACGCATTATGCCGACAAACTGAACATTACAATAAAGAATGCAGCATGTCCCTCTCACACAGACCTTCAGGATGAACTGACCTGGCCGTCTATGGCATTATGGTGTGGCCAGTATCTTGTGTTAATACGGAATATGCTTGGTTTTAGGTAAAGACGACAAATGATCTTAAACATGTCTCTTTCCCGCTCTTCTCCCCTTGCAGGATGACCTGACGCACAAGCTGGCAGACATCGTGAAGATCAACAACCAGCTGCGGCGAAACGAGCAGAGTGGGGCGGCTGCTCACGTCATCGCCGAGGATGTCAAGCTGCTGCAGTTTCACGTAGCCACCATGGTGGACAACGAGCTTCCCGGCCTGCCCAGGGTACCATGACCCACTGTGACCACCATGCTGGCATGAACCATGATTACTTGCGAGCGAGTTTAAATGACAAGAGCCTCTTTGGGGTAGTGAAGAGCAGGAGGAAAAGCTTTCTCATGCTGTCTGAAATACTTCTTAACATTATTCCTGACTCATTCTGTGACAATTGTATCAATCTAGTTCCCTACTAGTGTTCAGATGAGGTTATATGTCCCTTAATCAGCATTCCTATGAGAGTATGGTGAATTGTTTGACTCGGAAATTGTATTTTGTTCTGAAGCCAGTGCACTAAATGGCATATTGTGATTCCAGGCAATGCAGAAATCGGGTCGGCCCCTGAAATCCCTCAAACAGCGGCTGAAAGGGAAGGAAGGCCGTGTCAGAGGTAACCTGATGGGAAAGCGTGTGGACTTCTCCGCACGTACTGTCATCACCCCAGACCCGAACCTGCAGATTGACCAGGTCGGTGTCCCACGCTCCATCGCAGCAAACATGACCTTCCCGGAGATCGTCACCCCATTCAACATCGACAGGTATGCTATGCATGCAGTGAATACTGGTGATAGTTTGTTCCCTGTGTTGGATTTAAATTTAAATAAATGAAGAAGCCGAAATTCTAAAGTAATAGAGGTTTTCATACAAAGTCTTATTCAACAAGTCTGAAGTGATGGTGCTGGAACACTTTGCTTTCTAGTTCTGTTCATGTGTAGATTTTAGTCACTTATGAGCCAGCAGTCTCTTATTGTGTAATTGTAAGCAGAAATGAATCAAGCTATTGGCCATCTGCTGACTGTATGTTAATGACATATGCTTCAGACTACAGGAACTGGTACGGAGAGGGAACAGCCAGTATCCAGGGGCCAAGTACATTATTCGTGACAACGGGGACCGCATTGATCTGCGGTTCCACCCAAAACCCAGTGACCTGCACCTTCAGATCGGCTACAAGGTGAATGCACGTTCACTTCCCTCGAGTGTGTTTTGTACTGGCAGTATCCTTTAGGGAATGGACTGTTTTCCACTTTTGTGGAGTTCATAGTGGCCTGATGTTGTCCCGCAGTTGGACTTGAGTTTTAGTCCTAAACAAACTCTTCTCCTTCAGGTGGAACGCCACATGTGTGACGGGGACATCATCATCTTCAACAGACAGCCCACATTGCACAAAATGTCCATGATGGGGCACAGGGTTCGCATTCTGCCCTGGTCCACATTTCGACTCAACCTCAGGTGGGCTTTTCAGGCGATTTGTGCATGTGGTACTTGACGCGAGATCGTCAGATGGGCCTTTTTGTTGTGTTTTTTTTTTTTTTGTTTGTTTTTACTCGCAGGCTTCATTTCTGGAAGGAAGGGTTAGGAGATATTGCATGTTTGTGTGATAATGAGCGAGACTGGGCAGCACTGACTTCCCTTCCCTCGTCTGCTCACCTAGTGTCACCACCCCCTACAATGCCGACTTCGATGGGGACGAGATGAACCTCCACTTGCCGCAGTCACTGGAGACGAGGGCAGAGATCCAGGAGCTGGCCATGGTGCCCCGGATGATTGTCACACCTCAGTCCAACAGGCCTGTCATGGGTATTGTGCAGGACACCCTCACTGCCGTGCGCAAGTTTACCAAGAGGGACGTCTTCCTCGAAAGGGTGAGGCTGTCCTACTTTTCCATAATGTTTCAGTCTCTGAGCTCTTGCTATGCTCCCAATTCCTCCCATTCTTAATGGTCATTTCTGCCACTGAATGTTGTGTCTCCTGTGTAATTTCTTGCATTTGCGTCCAAAATATCCCTTCCAGGGTGAGGTGATGAACCTGCTTATGTTTCTTTCCACGTGGGATGGCAAAGTACCCCAGCCAGCCATATTGAAACCTCGGCCACTGTGGACTGGCAAGCAAATATTCAGTCTCATCATCCCGGGTCATATCAATGCCATTCGGACTCACAGCACCCACCCTGATGAAGAAGACACTGGACCCTATAAGCACATTTCTCCTGGAGACACAAAGGTAGCTGTCTGGACACAGTCAACTGAAGATGGCTCTTCTCCCCCCCCATAACTATACTGTTCAGGCACTAACTTGTCCACTGATACCCCCTTGATTGATATTTTTGACTGCTTTTAACACATCGCTTTACCTCTTGATCTGCAGGTGATTGTTGAGAACGGGGAGTTGATTATGGGGATTCTCTGCAAGAAGTCCCTGGGAACTTCTGCTGGTTCTCTTGTCCACATATCTTATCTGGAGATGGGTCATGATGTCACCCGGCTTTTCTACTCCAACATCCAGACAGTGGTCAACAACTGGCTGCTTATTGAGGGTAAGGCGTCCAGGACATAACTGGCAGCTTGAGTTTTAATGACATGCCTTAAATCCGAGGCAAATGTGTCAAAACATTGGATTTTAAGAACATGTCTTGATGTCATATCTAGGTCACTCCATTGGTATTGGTGACTCTATTGCTGATGCAAAAACCTACTTGGACATTCAGAACACCATCAAGAAGGCCAAGCAGGATGTGATAGAGGTGAGACTATTGTTCTGATTGCTAGTCAAAGGCATTAAGCTTGCCTAGCAGATCTCCCAATTATACAATTTTGGACATCTTTAAGTTGAACTTGTCTAAAGTACTTGTTTCCTTGCTTGTATCCAGGTCATCGAGAAGGCTCATAACAACGAGTTGGAACCCACACCTGGCAACACTCTGAGGCAGACCTTCGAGAATCAGGTCAATCGTATCCTCAATGATGCCAGAGACAAGACTGGGTCCTCAGCCCAGAAGTCCCTGTCGGAGTATAACAACTTCAAATCCATGGTGGTGGCTGGGTCCAAAGGATCCAAAATCAACATTTCACAGGTAAAAGGAAGGATAGTATAGTTGGTTCAGGACTGGGTCACTAAGAGTCTACTTGCCGTCTCTGTACCCTCTTCCCAATGTATCTGCCAAAGAGCCCCCGACAGTTTTGATTAAAATCAAATTCAGAAAATTAGCCTGAAACAAATGTAACCAAATCTTTCTCTCTCGTCCTGCAGGTTATTGCAGTGGTGGGGCAGCAGAATGTGGAGGGGAAACGTATCCCCTTTGGTTTCAAGCACCGCACGCTGCCCCACTTCATCAAGGATGACTATGGGCCGGAGAGCAGGGGTTTTGTGGAGAATTCCTATCTGGCTGGCCTCACACCCACAGAATTCTTCTTCCATGCCATGGGTGGCAGAGAAGGTCTTATCGACACTGCTGTGAAGACTGCCGAGACTGGTAAGTCTCAAAGGGGTTACCTGTAGTGTTATGTACTGGCAAGAATCTGGCGATATGATGTGTGTCATTACACGTGGGTTACTATTCAGTATATTGTGGTACTGTAAGCAAGGCAAGTCTAATTTTAGGAAAATTGTCAAATACTATAAAAATGAGTAAAATGCATGGCTCTTGTCTATCTCTTTAGTGCCTTCTTTATTGTAGAAGCTAAAATGAGCCCACGCTTCAGCTCTTTACGTCATGGGAACCAATCTAATAACATTCAGCCATTGATGGCAGCATTACTAGTCAGCTAAGTCTGATAATGCTAATGTTAGCGGAACACTCTTGTGCTGCTTCCAGTTTCAGTTTATGTTACATTTGAGTGGAAGAATCTAAGGGCTGAAGATGGATTACAACACTGCTCTCTAGTGGCAGGCGGTTTAAACAAACCAAAACAAAATGAATCAATGTGTCACGAATCTGCGTGCAAACTATTGCTTAAAAATCAACAGTGTTTTTGAGAATCAATACAGTGTGTCAAAACATATTGCAATATTCATGTGTATCTATTTTCTTACACCCCTGGTTACCCATCTCCAGAAGTTTTCACCCCCATTTGACCCATCTCCTTGCTTACTCCTTTTGTCTCCCCTTAGGCTATATTCAGCGCCGTCTTATCAAATCCATGGAGTCGGTGATGGTGAAATACGATGCTACAGTGCGCAATTCCATTAACCAGGTGGTACAGTTGCGATATGGGGAGGATGGACTAGCTGGAGAAGCTGTGGAGTTCCAGAACATGGCTACACTCAAACCCTCCCACAAGGCCTTTGAGAAGAAGTAAGGAATCTGGACACCTCTCCATACATTTTTACTTAACTCTCCCAGTTCATCTTTACAGGTTTATCATCTAAGCTGCCTGTCTTTCCCATAAAATGCCTTAGGAAGTTGGCTGTGTTTTATTCAGACTAAATTTAATAAACAGATCTTGCTGTCATTTTGCTTGTCTTGAGAAGGTCAACGTTGGGTGATGGTTAGTAGATCGGCTGACTTGGTCCACAAACCAATTAAAGAGCTGCTTGAACACATCCCCTTGCTCTTGTCTCCCAGGTTCAAGTTTGACTACACCAATGAGAGAGCTCTTCGGCGAACCCTACAGGAGGATGTGGTGAAGGACGTAATGACAAATGCACATGTACAGAGTGCCGTGGAGCATGAGTTTGACAAGATGAAAGAGGACCGGGAGATCCTCCGAGCCATTTTCCCCACTGGAGACAGCAAGGTCAGAGGTCACATATGCATGCATGCATGCATGTCATCATGCGCTCTCCACTAGCACTATAAAAACAATGGTTGTAGTTCTGCATGTCTGCACGATGTATACAGTTTCCGTTTCTGCATAACATCTGTCCCACCATGATTTCATTGGATATATATTTTTGTGGTTCCCTAGGTGGTTCTGCCGTGTAATCTTGCCAGAATGATCTGGAATGCACAGAAGATTTTCCGCATCAATCCTCGCACCCCAACAGATCTCCACCCCCTGAGAGTTGTCAATGGTGTGTACCACCTGTATTACTTCCATAACATCTGTTAGAAAATGAATGTGGTCAGGTGTTCATTATACTAAGTCCACTGGTATGTTATGCTTATGGACTGGCCAAATACTGATCTTGTGGCATCAGACTGTGGGACAGCACCTGAAATAGGCCATCTAAATCAGGTCGTACGCTTTTGCACTCACCCAACCTCTTTGCACTTGTTTAGACTTAAGTTATTGCTATATTACAAGTAGATTACTTGCTAAGTTGCGAGGATCAGTACTAATATACCTTCTAATTCAACTTACTTTGTCTCTTTTATTGTGCATCCAAGAGGGAAAACCTCAACACTTCCTGAATTAATGATTTAGATCTGTTTTTGCAGCAACTTCCTGTATGTAAATTTTTAAAATTATAAATTTTTTTTAAATGCACTTGGTCCTAATGATTGTATGTCTTCATGTGTCCAGGCGTGCAGGAGCTGAGTAAGAAGCTGGTGATTGTGAACGGGGATGACCCGCTGAGCCGGCAGGCCCAGGAGAACGCCACGCTGCTCTTCAACATCCACCTGCGCTCCACCCTCTGCTCGCGGCGCATGACTGAAGAGTTCCGCCTCAGCACCGAGGCATTTGATTGGCTATTGGGAGAGATTGAGACAAAGTTCAACCAAGCCATTGTAAGCTCCAAAGTTTGAGAGGAAGGGACACAGTATAGTTTGTCTGAAAACCTTAATGTTTAAGTTATGAGTTTAGACTAGTGTAGGTAATTAGAGGTAATGCAAGGAATGTTGTTTTTGGGTGGTGGTGCTAATGACTTTTACATGTTCTAGGTACACCCAGGTGAGATGGTTGGGGCTTTGGCTGCCCAGTCACTGGGTGAGCCGGCCACCCAGATGACCCTGAATACCTTCCACTACGCTGGTGTATCTGCGAAGAACGTCACCCTTGGCGTGCCTAGGCTCAAGGAGTTGATCAACATCTCCAAACGGCCCAAGACCCCCTCGCTCACAGTGTTCCTGCTGGGCCAGGCGGCACGGGACGCAGAGAGGGCAAAGGTACCCCTCCCTCTCTGATACGGGCACCACTTTGATCAACTCTGCTTTGAACTATGTAGTTTGCGCACATCCATGGTGGACTTCGCTGTTGGACCCTTGAGCAAGCTCCTGTAACCTCAATGTCCATGTGACCACCTCTTTCCAAAGGACATCCTGTGCAGACTGGAGCACACCACCCTCCGGAAGGTGACGGCCAACACTGCCATCTACTACGACCCCAACCCTCAGAACACAGTGGTCACTGAGGACCAGGAATGGGTCAATGTCTACTATGAGATGCCCGACTTTGATGTGACCCGCATCTCGCCCTGGCTTCTGCGCATAGAGCTGGATCGCAAGCACATGACTGACCGCAAGCTAACCATGGAGCAGATTGCCGAGAAGATCAATGCAGGTCAGGACCGTACGCTATGTATGGAGGAGGTTGTGGAAGTCAGGTTTGGCATAAATGAACCTGTGGATGTTCGGATGTGTCTCTCCATCAGGTTTTGGTGATGACCTAAACTGCATCTTCAATGACGACAATGCCGAGAAACTGGTCCTGCGAATCCGCATCATGAACAGCGACGAAAACAAATTCCAAGAGGTGTGGGTCTGTCGCTACTTTTAAGTAGCTCATTGCTGCAAATCTGAATGAATCTGAATGATTGGGTCTCTCTCATTCCCAGGATGAGGAGGTGGTTGACAAAATGGATGATGACGTGTTTCTTCGATGCATAGAGTCCAACATGCTGACAGATATGACTCTTCAAGGCATTGAGCAGATTAGCAAGGTATGGGAGGAGCCTTCTGATTAGTTGCCCTGTCTACACACATTCCAGTGATCTTCCAGTGCATTATCAGTGTGAGAGCTATCAGATGACATATCGAAGACCTGTATAACTTTATGGTCTTGACCGTAAATGGTCATTTGCAATGTGATGTAAATCTTACTTCACCACCCCAGGTGTACATGCACCTCCCACAAACTGACAACAAAAAGAAAATCATCATCACAGAGGATGGGGAGTTCAAGGCGTTACAGGAGTGGATCCTGGAAACTGATGGTGTTGGCCTCATGAGGGTCTTGAGCGAGAAAGATGTGGACCCTGTCAGGACAACTTCCAATGACATTGTGGAGATCTTCACTGTAAGCAAGGCTTTGAGCTAGAATACATTTAATGTTCGTGCGATGCACAGGACATCTGACTTTCAGGAATGGTTGTATACTGTTGTGTCATGCATCCTTGCGTTTCCCCTTCCTTTCAGGTCCTGGGAATTGAGGCTGTACGCAAAGCCCTGGAGAGGGAGTTGTACCATGTGATCTCCTTCGATGGCTCCTATGTCAACTACCGCCACTTAGCCCTGCTTTGCGACACTATGACCTGCCGTGGTCACCTGATGGCCATCACACGTCACGGCATCAACCGGCAGGACACTGGACCCCTCATGAAGTGCTCCTTCGAGGAGACGGTTAGGATCGGAGTCGGGCTGGGGTGGAGTGTAGGGCGTGTGGGTTATGGTAGAGCTGATGGCAAGGGATGCTCTGTTTTTTTATGAGGGTTTCAGGGGAATGGATCTTCTGGTCCAGAAGAGATTTAAACAATTGCCTAGACAAACAAATGGATCTGCATGGTTTTTTTTGCTGCCGTCTAGGTGGATGTGCTGATGGAGGCCTCCTCCCATGGGGAATGTGACCCTATGAAGGGTGTGTCTGAGAACATCATGCTGGGCCAGCTGGCACCAGCAGGCACAGGCTGTTTTGACTTGCTGCTGGATGCTGAGAAGTGCAAGTATGGCATGGAGATCCCCACCAACATCCCTGGCATCAGCATGGCAGGACGTAAGTGCTGAGCTGCCGTGTATGTTTCTGTGTGTAGTGCGATCTCATCAGACCGTTTCCAGAACATGCTTGCTCACCTTGTTCTCCTATCAGCAACCGGAATGTTCTTTGGATCTGCGCCCAGTCCCATGAGCGGGATGTCGCCTGCCATGACTCCCTGGAACACGGGAGCCACGCCTGCTTATGGGGCATGGTCACCCAGTGTGGGTAAGTACGCCCCTTTGCTCTGCCCTTTTGGCTTTTACTTCCCGATTGGCTGCCTGTTTGGTTCGCCTCTTCCCTATTGGTTGCCTAAAGCCTGGTCTCCGGTCATTGCCTCTGCAGGAAGCGGAATGACTCCAGGCGCTGCAGGTTTCTCACCCAGTGCTGCCTCCGATGCCAGTGGCTTTTCACCTGGATATTCTCCAGCTTGGTCACCCACGCCTGGCTCCCCTGGATCTCCAGGCCCAGCCAGTCCCTACATCCCCTCTCCTGGTAAGTCCACACTCAATCACAATTGTAAGTATTGCTGCATCATTTATCACAGGTATGGGTTTCTACTTAAGTTCACTTGCTTCTCTTTGGGCAATACTGATCGTATCTGAGGGTTACGAATAACACTACCAAAAACATGGCAGGCATGTTGTGGTTGAGTTTGCCGAACTTCCCTCACCCACCTCTTGCCCCTCTATCAGTTCATGGCATCAGTTGTCCATTTTTGAGGACGTTTCTGCTTTGACAAGCTCAAACTAGTTACAAGACCTTATTACTTCCCTTTCAGGCTGTCCTTTTTGTTAGCTATTGTATAATTCCCATATTTTAAATGCTAACAATTTCTGAAATGTCACCAGTTACTTAAATGGCAAATAAAAACACGGAAGTAAATTCCCTCTCAATTGCGAATTGCTGCTATATATGCGATATGTTTGGTTCTTGGTATCGTAAAATGTTCCTCCATTCCTCCAGGTGGCGCCATGTCTCCAAACTACTCCCCCACTTCCCCTGCATATGAGCCTCGTTCTCCTGGGGGCTACACGCCACAGAGTCCTGGTTACTCCCCTACATCTCCTTCGTACTCGCCCACCTCCCCGTCCTATTCACCAACGAGCCCCAACTACAGTCCAACTTCGCCCTCTTACTCCCCAACCTCGCCAAGCTACTCACCAACGTCACCAAGCTACTCCCCCACGTCTCCAAGCTACAGTCCTACATCTCCGAGCTAC